CAGCTGCAACACTTTAGGTGTATATCTCTTATCAAATTTGCAGATATAGGAATTGAAATGGGTTTTTAATTTTAAATAAGAGCTTTCAAAATGTATTTATTTTAATTTATTTTCAATATGATGGCAGTATAAAATGGCACGCATGAACAGGGAATGCAAAAGACACATATATTTGTGCCGTGATATTGACAGGCTCGAAAAAGAGTAGGAAGAAGTAAGACACTAATGAACTCCTACCCCATAAAGTCGAACCATATTTTTCAGATGGACCTTCATTATTAAATCAAATAAATAAAAAATGTAGGTTAATTAATTTTCCACTTTATCTGGGTTTATATTTGTCTAAATATATACATCCATATGTCCAAGTAATCATTTTTTTCATCTTTTTAGCTTTTTCAATTCTTGGAAAAGATTCTTAATTGGGTTCAAATCTGGACCTTTAGACCACATGATGCTGCCACTACCATGTTTCACCATAGAAACGGTGCGTTGATGGTGATGTGTGTTATTAGTTTTCAGCTATATGTTACTGCCCCCTCAATGACCTGGGGCACATTTTAATCTCAACTCAATAAAAAAAAGTCAGATTTGTGAAGTTACAGCCGTCTAGTTGATAAATTTTCCAACCATCTCTGATTCTCCACCAGTTACTATCGGTCTCTTGTTTGCTTGTCCAACTAATGCTGTTCTTGCTCAACATGTCGTATTATGTTTTGGCCCGTTTGCAGTGGTGCCATAAACTTTCCATTTGCAGATGCTGATTTGAATGGTTGCTTGGAAAATGTCCAAACCCATTTACAATATTTTGTATCATAACTCTGACCCACTCTCTGCGTTCCCTGGTCGTCAGTGACAACTCGTCACGATGCCATTTGTTCCCTAACTTTCTTTAGCAAACCTTCACAGAACGGCTGTATATATATATATGGAGATGGATGGAGTCTGTTTGCTAACTGAATGACCTACTGGATTGTATTTACAGGTATTATAATAAAAGTTGGGCTGCATGATGGAAGCTGGTAGCACTTCTGTTGCCTTGCAGCAAGAAGGTTCTAGGTTCGAATCGCAGCCTGGGGTAAATCTGTGTGGAGTTTGGATGTTCTCCTGTCTATGCGTTGGTTCTCTCTGCGTACTCTGGTTTCCTCACACAGTCCAAAAGCGTGACTCATAGACTAACCAGTTTCTCCAAATTACCCGTTGGTATAAGTGTACTGGTTGTTTATGTTGCCCTGTGAGTGGGAACCTGTTCAGGTTTTGGCGTTTTCATATTTTTTAGAAACAAAGTGAAGCCACTGTCCAGTGGACGCATTAATTCATATCCGCTGATGTATAGATCTACCTATAAATGCACCGTGATTTGCATTGGTTAAACAAATTTACTTTTGGGAACAGGTAGGGCACCAAACCTGGCTGTGTGGCCCAGGGCCCCACATCCTTCTAAATCCGGCCCTACCAGCCCTAGACGGGCAATGAGAGGATGATAAAAGGAGCTTAATTCAAATTCCTTCCACGTTTTTAGCCCCACTCAAAGACCACAACCTCCACCCAACAAGCCAGTCTCAAGTCCCTCCACGACCTTATGCCCTGCAGAGGTCAAAGGTAAGCCCACTGACCGGCCCACAGCTCCACCTGGTCTACCCTTCTCCATACTCCACCCAACATCATTGGAGACTCCAACACTACCTCCACCTTCCTGCCCAGGTAGCCGATCACGGCACCTGGTCGGTAAACACAGAGCAGCAAACAGAACAATCCTCCTCCCCTCCTCAACAACATATTTGTTTGAAGCTTGAACCAATGTGGAGAGGGTTTGAGGTGGTGTTCGTTCTGTAGCATTCAATGCAGATGAGATGATTGTGAAGAAGAAAATATTAGGTTGGAGGTTAAGACTGCAAAGAGCTGTGAATATGAAGTGCAAATGTTTAAAAGATTTACTCCAAAATGTCAGATTGTAAGAACAGGCCCATGCTTAGCTCTTATTTGTAGGCGTCTAAAAGTTGCTGCAACTTTGTTTATGTTGAGTTTTACCGTCTCTTGAAACAATTCCACATTAAAACCATCAATGTTTTACTTTATATGTCGCAGTTTTGCTGACATTTGCTCACTTGGAGTTGGTTTGGTTTCTTTTAATCCGTCCTTTCTTTGTCTGCAAGATTCTGCTCTGTCCTCCGGCAGACTGTTTCAGACTATATTTACATAAAATTTGCACAATTCACGGCTGCCTAACACCTGAACCTGGGGCCACACCTCCAGCCAATCTGAACTGTATCAAATTATGAATGGAAATTTCCACATAAAACATTCCCGCTACGAGTGACGATCGTTGCTTGAGATATATGACAATTTGTATTATTGGGCTAAACGTGGATCTGATGTCTGACATTTGAGAGAGGTTTCCATTTGGTTTCTCAGTCAAATGCAAACTCAGAACGCATAAATCACCGGATTAGAGTCCTAACATGATTACGCGCGCGTTCGGAAGGGAAAGAGCAACGTTGAAGCTGAAATACAAGCTACACAAAGCGCTTATTGCTCAGGAAACGAGTTTTGTGTGAATGCATGCAAGCAATTCAAGAATAAAATTTAAAGTAAAGGCTCTTAAAATTAAGAATTGGTTTAAGTAAATTACTAAAAGTTATATTAACTACCCGATATCTCCCTGCACGCTCGATGAAGTTTCAATGGGTCCCATTTTGACTGTCAGATGCTCCAGCACTGGTTGACCATTGATGCAACCCATCATGCCATCTGTTGAACATCTTAAACATTTTGCTCTTTAAATGTACAAAACTGTTTTAAATAGGTTTAAGAAATTGCACACAAGTCAAACCTTTCATTGCCTTCTTGGCTTTCTTTCTTTTTTCTTTTGTCGATGTGGGAAGTTTGTAAATATAGGGAAATCTTGAAACTTAGAAGGTCATCAGATTTCTGGAGACCAAACAAGACGAGTCTAATTAGTCATTATGGTATTTTTCCATATTCATCATTTAAGACACGCAATTCTTTAGTGGCTAAGTGTAGTGAAACCGTTTGAAAACATATCAGTTTTTAAAGCAAATTTGTAAAGTGCCTTGGTAAATTATGCATGCTTTTTTTTTTAACCTTTTGACAGTTTCTTTCTGTTTTTCATATAAAAACTTAATAATGTGGTGTGGATGTTTTTGCAAAATCACATTTTGCTGCAATGATGCAGTAGAGTATATCCCCATCTGTAGCCAGATTGTTTCCCCGTTATTCTTTGGACTAAACTCAGTCAGGCTGGATGGGACGTGTGATTCTCAATGTGATTTTTGTCTGTACTTTGACTATGAATGTTCTTTAACCAATCTACCGTCAGACTGCATGCTTAAGGTCGTCGTACTGCTTTGCGATGAAGCTCCGATACCTCTCAAATGTTCTGCATACTTTGAGTAGAGTGTTACTTTTTATTTTCTATTTATTATTTTTGGTCTCCTCTGTTCGGAGCAGCTTCTTCCACACGTCCTCTGGCTTTTACAAACAGTGTCCGTGTTCTTGCTACTCCTTCAAAGAGGCAATAGTGGAATGAAGAGGTGATTGTTGTCCCATCAAAAAGTTATTATGGAGATTCTTCAGAGTTTCCACGTGGAAGGTGAAAGGCCTTGGAAGGGGAGCTATTGTCATAACCATTTCTACCATGAATTAATGAATTGAGCTCTGCACGAAGTTAAACGCTTGGGCTTTTATTTTATATGCCAGTCACTCTCTGAACATCAGATCTAAGAGAACAACGTTGGAGGTCTAAAGTTCTCCAACAAAACATAAATGTATTTATACTGAGATCTAGTTGCACACAAGTGATATCTATTTTCCTACCAAGTGGTTTCTGAATTGGTTGTACTTTATCTTTAGGGGAGTCGGAGTAAAGGGGTTGAGCGGGCATTTTTTATTTCAGATTTTTAATTGTAAAAATCTTCCTGAAACCTGCATGTTCTTTTCATACAACTTCACCTTTGTCATAACAAACAAATTAAAAATAAAGGCGTATTTTTACTTTTTCAGGGCGTTGTGTAAATGTCTTAAATTACACATTAACTGCAGTAATGTACAAAACAACCAGAAGCAAAATCTGATTTTTTACTTTTAAGTTAAAATCATTGATTAGAGGAAATTTAAATGTTTTTAGCATTCAAACTGCACCGTGACGGGATGTTTTCTTACGTTTTGCTCTATTTATTGTCCAAACTGTCATGTATGAATCTTCCATCACTCATATCTGAGGTAATTTTATGCTCTGGTAGCTGAAAAGCAAAAGTGATCAGAAGGAGTTAACACTAATAGTTATATATATATATATATATATATATATATATATATATATATATATATATATATATGTATGTGTTCATAGTGTGGGGAAGGGAAATGAATAGATAAAAAAAAACACGTGCTTTTGTTGCATTATTTTCACTCTCAACAACAAAAATAAAACCCTCTTGTGAACTGAGCAGGAGGGCGGACTGAGCCGAGCTCTTCCTCCCACGGAGTCGCTGCTCTCCACGCAGGACGTAACCACAGGAAAACCACACGAGGGATCTGAGCTGAGGCGCTCGCGCCTTCCAAAACAACAACGCAGCACCTTTTTTTTTTTTCTTTGATTACCGCCGCCATCACCGCTGCTTCTTCTTCTTTTCTTCTTCTTCTGACTCTCACCTGCAACTTTCCGCAGATTCACACTTTCGTCGCGCACGCCGCAGCAGCCGACTTCCCGCTTCTCACCCCTTTACCCGTTCAGCCTGTTATGACTGAGAGAGGAATGCTGCTGCTTTTATATAGGCCTCTAAAAATAACTCACCCCCTCGCTGCCATCTACAGCGAGACCGACGTCCCCGCGCAGCCAATGGCGCGGCCGCGTCCCTCAAAGCCCCGCCCACTGCCTCTGTCTCAGCGCCTCCTTAATTGGACAAGAGTGACATCATCAACCCCATTTGCCTTATAAGGTCACGCATGAAATTGAGTGACAAGGTGGCACCGCCTCTCTCCCTCTCTCCCCCCTCCTCCTCCTCATGAACTCCCGTCCGCTTCTCCGCGCCGGGGTACAGTCTGCTGCTGGAGGAGCAAACCTGGCAACCTGGCAGCTTCGGACGGAGCCCGATCGGCAATCTGGCAATGCGGAAATAGACCTGGCACCCCCGGATTGAGGAGAGAAGGCGTGACAGAGCGAGCTGGAGGAGTAGAGAGAGAGGAGAGAGAGAGAGAGAGCGGGGATTGCGCTGACAAAGATCAAATAACACACACTTTCTACCCACGTTGCCGTTTCTCGATTTTTTTTTTAATTAAAGTGCTCAGGTGCGCGCTCGTCTGCACCAGCTCGCGCTTTTCCTCCAGCTTTTTTTGTGGTTTGTTTTCTCCACTCTGAGAAAGAAAGAGGGGGAATAAAGAAGAGGAAAGAAGAAGTGCGTTTTTAATCGCCTCTATTCCGGACTTCTTTACTTTGCCTTCTTTTTTTTTTTTTTACCCTCTCCCCTTTCCCTTCCTCGTCAACCATGGATGTTTTGGCGAATTACAGTATTTTCCAGGAACTCCAACTCGTCCATGACACTGGTTATTTCTCGGCGATGCCTTCCCTGGAGGAGAACTGGCAGCAGGTCAGAGATGATGCGCTTTTTATTTCTTCTTCTTCTCCTCCTCCCGTCTCCTCTTTTAAAAACAGAAACTGAAATAAAATGTCCTGAGTGCGCATGTTTGATGTTTTCTGTGCGGGTTTTAAAAAGTGTTTTTTTGCATTAGGAGGGGAGTCGCTGCTGAGCCCCGTGTTAGTTGCGTCTTTTTTTTTTTCTTTTTTTTTTTTCTCTCGCTCACATGGAGCACCGCGAGGTCCGCTGACAGGAGAAAAACACACACGCACACACACACACGCAGGGGAAAAGGAAGGGGGAGGATACATCCATACGCACCAATGGCACAGACTGGCAACGTTTAAAGAGAGGAGAAAAGTGTGCGTAAACACTCTTAACAGTGTTTACGCACGCTCCAAAAAAAAAAAGAAAAAAAGAAAGAAGGAACGTGTCCTTGATCCTTCAGAGCAGCTACTCGAGGCTTAATTAACTTCCCCTGATCATTAATGTGAAAGCAGGAGCATGACGCTGTTGCTGCTAGGATCCCTTCAGCGTTTAATCCACCCGGAATTGATGCGCAAAACTCTCCAGAAGCAGGTGGTTGAGGTTGGAAACGCTGTTCCTGCTATAGATTCTGATAAACGACGTTAATTAATGAATAAAATAAAATAAAATAAAATGGCTCCCTGAAATTGCTGCAAGTACAACTGCAAGTTTTTTTTGTTTTTTTTTTTTGTTTTACGTATGTGTCTAGTAGCCCTTCATTTTCAGAAACAGACTCTTTGGGAGGGGGTTTTCTTCTCACCTTGGAGCCCTTCAGAGCGTAAAAGGCTTTAGAGAATTTTTTAAATTCTGTTAAATTTAAATGTACAGAATTTTTTAGTAATATAATATATTACAGAAACTAATTTTTTACAGTTTCTGTATAAAAAAAATGCAGTTTTTACAGAAACTGTAATTTTTAATTCCAGTCAAAGATTCTCAAGTGGATTTAGATCCGGGCTTTGACTGGGTTATTTTAATGAATGAATCTGATTTGGTGAACTGTGGGCTCCATAAGCAGCTTCCTCTGTCCATAAGGCTGAGTAAGCATTCCCACAGCATCATTCTTCCATCGCCGTGCATCACCATGGGGACGGTGTGTCCATTGTTATGCGCAGTGCTAGTTTTCCTCCTCTCAGAACATGTTTTATGTTGGACATGAAGTTCAGGTTTGGCCTCATCTGATTAGACTGCCTTCGTCCTCATGCTAGCCGTGTCCTTGTTGCTACGGCAAACAGCAAACTGAGCTCCTTACGGTTTTCTTCATGCCCGTTTTGGACGCTGAATGGATCACTTCCCTCCAGGATCGTCCTGGATCCAGTTCCGTCTCGTCTTCCTTTCCGTTCTCATCCATTTCTCTCTGCAGCATAATGCTGCCACTGCCATGTGCTACGCTGGGAAGGCGTGCTCAGAGATCCTCCCATCATCAACTCTGATCAGTCAGAGGAAACAGCTGAACATAAAGGTGGAGACGGCAACTTCTGGTGACCGGCGACTTTGGTTGCGTTGCGATTTTTGTCATTTAAAAAAAAAATTAAATTAACAAGCTGTAACTTATTGAGTGAAAGTGACGGCGCGGTGCCGACGTGAGAGTAGAATGACTGTGAAAGAGAAGCAATTTCCGCGTTCTTGGTTCCACGCTGATGGTGATGGGGTGGTGGTGGTGGAGAGAAATGTGCGCGTTTTTCTCCTGGAGGCTGATGCTGCTCTTTGTGTGACTGATGTGATCAATAGGAGAGTCTGTCAGCCTGGTATGTTTGGGATTATCCTCCGAGACACAAAACACACAAGCTGTAGGAGATGGACACGTGCCTAATAGGAATTGACTTTTTCTTAAATAATACATCCACACCTGCCACTGTTTGTTTGCAGATAATGCTGCTGAATAATGCATGTCAGCCACCATGACATTCAGCTGACAGTGCAAGTTAGGCTGCAGACTGCTTTATAACCCACCATTTAGGCACTCGGATCTCCCTCCGTTATGTTCATGTCGAACTGTTCACCCGCTTGATTGGGACCTGGTTTCATTTCGAACGGTTCATTGTTGTCAACTTGAGACAGATCGTATGAAGCCACGTGAATCCAGCATCTTTCCTGGGCCTGTTGTATAGCATCCCATCTCCTCTGGATTGTCAGTGTGTGTGTGTGTGTGTATGAAACATGGAAATTGTTGCAGTGTTGGATGAAGCAGAAACTACATGTTTCCTCTCAAACCAAATAAGTGCTGCTTCATCCTGGTTTTAGTGCAAACGGCTCACTTTGCTACCATTTTTCCACCCTCATTTATGTTAATTGTTTAGTTGTGTAAACAATTATATCAGGCGTAATTAAAAAAAAATAATAAATTAACGGGTTTACTTTCAGTTTGGAGTCTTATGTTACAGACACTGAATGCATATCTTAAAAAAATTACGTGCATATTGCTGCTACTTCACTACAAATTAGTGATTCAATAGATTTCATAGTTTCAAGGTTGATTAATGATTAATCCCACAATAGTTGCTATAGCAACTCTAATAAATAGCTGTGCATCCTGTTTGAGAGCCATCTGGTGGCCATGTTTTTAATCAGGCAAACAAAATAGACACTAAATGTCACTTAACATGTGTCCATTGTCCGTTGAGGTGACCGAGTAGTAGGATCGGTCCATGATAGGACAAGAGACACAGGCAAGACGACCATGCACACCCACACACAAACACACACACACACACACACACACACACACACACACACACACACGCACACTTATAGGTTTAGAGAGACCATTTAACCTGAGAGTCGTGGATTATGAGAGGAAGCCGAAACATGTAGGGAGAAACCAGGCAAGGATTCAAAACCAGAACCTTCTTGCTCTGAGGCAGCTGTGCTCCCAACTTCTACATAGTTAAAAAAAGAAATAGTTTAACCAGAAAACCTTTGTCACTTCCAAAAAATCCAAACCGGGTTTAGAACAGAAATTGGTGCAATAACTGCATGTTTAGCCAAGCCTGACTTGGCACTTAGCCTAGCTTAGCCTGGCTTAGCCATCTGTGTCGAAAGAGCAGGAGCATATAAATAGTTAGAACCAAGATTATTTATAGTCGTAGACTTAGGTTTAAAGTAATTTAAACATTTGACATTTCTGACTAGAGGTAACATTATTGTTCTTTAGCAGCCTTGCCAGAGTCCTGACTTGCATTGAACTAATGGAAACTAAAGATTAGCTGGGGATGGAAAGGAAGCCTTCTCCTCCCAGTGACTTGCTGCTCATCTCCACAGATAAATGACAGACGGTTATCCATCAAGCTGTTTAGTTTGAAAACTGTTTAATTGGTTTTTTTATTAGCTTCTTTTTCTCGCAGCATTTGAAATAATATCCTGCTTGGTTCGAGGAAATGCTTATTACATTAGACACATTGCAGAGACAAAGAGAGAAAGAGAGAGAGAGAGACAGAGAGAGAAAGAGAAAGAGACTTCTGTCCATTCTCAATACACTTATTACAGGTTTGCTTACTTTGCAGATAGCTAAGGAAATGCTTAGCTAGAAATACCAAGATGTCTTCCTGGCAAGAAAATTGTAATATTTTAGTTAGATTTGAAGGCAGAAAGCAAATAGCTTCTAATGGATACCATTACTTGACCTGAATTGCTTGTTTAGAGTAATTCCATTGGTTTATGGCTTTGCTAATAAGATGTTTGTGCTAAGTTAGGCTGACAACGGTCTGGAAGGCCCTCTGCAGAAAGACGAGACTGCTTTTCAGAAAGCCACCGCTTCATCCCGCTCTTTGTTTCTGTCGGCCGGTTTTTAAATAAATCCTACATTTTAGGAGTTAAGCAGATTTTGACTTTTATTTTCCTCAGCGTTGAGCATTTTCCAGTTTTGAAGTGTGGAATATTCTTTTTTTCTTTTCTCTTCGAATGCGTCTGCTCTAGCTGCGACACAGACAGAAACCTGGCACACCCGCAATTTTTCCACTCTTGTTCCTTCTGTCTCTCGCTATTCCCTCATTTACTCCATCGCTCATAGGCTTACAAACAGACACACACACACACACACACACACACACACACACACACATGCGCACATGCTTGGCTGGCATGCACTAATGGAAAGCTAAGGTCTGGCAGGACTCATCCCGCCACTTTCGACAGTAATTGGCCGTTTGCTGTCAGATGGACAGAACCACACACACACACACACACACACACCCATGCACACACACACACGCACGCAGTCAGACAAACAACACGCACGCTCAGGCAACCTGATTTGTGGCTATCATTTATCTGTCCAGGCTTTGTGTCCTCATACAGCCTTTTATCAGCTGCTTTGCATCGTGGTAACAGAAGCAGGGAAAACAACACCCTTTGTCTTACCTGCCTGTCATTTTTGTTGCATTTGATGGCGTCCTGTGTGTAATTGCAGCATCTTTCTGCATTAGGACTGAAGTGATGGGCTGTTGGGGGGGTGGATCTGTGCGCCTGTGCGGAGTGGTCAAGGATCAAACTCAGACTTCCCAATTAGGAGTAATCCATTTATTCCACAGCAGAGCCGCTCAGAGGTCTGATGAAAAACAGAGGGAAGTAGAGAAAGCGAAAACAGAGGGATGTTGAAAGTGTAATTGAAGTAGAGGCCACGTTTTTTTTATGTGGATGTTGTAGAACTGCATTTACAGGCTGCGTGTGTGTGTGTGTGTGTGCGTGTGTGTGCGTGCAAGGTTTGCAGGTATCTATTTAAAAGTGTTGCGTTGCTTTATTCCGGCTGACTCGAATATCTTTTTCTCATCTTGTCTGCTAGTTTACATGCTGTGTGTGTCTGTAGTTCTTTTCAGGCGTATTGATTTATTTGCTGTGGAGTCATTACAGCACTCTGCTAGACCAGCCAGTTCTGTGTTACAGGGAAACCTGGCCTGCTTTTGTCCAGGAAAAAGGCTACAAGCCTAAATCTGTTTCTTCACTGCAATCGGACAGTGTGGTAGCGCAAATGGTAAAAAAAACAAAAAAAAACAACAACCAGTATCCGGTCCTATCCGGTTCTGTTTTCCAGTAAAAGAAACGCTCTCATATTTCCAACACGTGCGATTTTTTTTTTTTTTAGAAGTGGGAAAAGTCCCTTTTGTCTGTCCTTTTAGGTACAGCTTGTTATCGTTTGGGGCAACAATGTGGCAAGCTGGCGGCTGAGCGTGGCTCGTAATAAAAAAACAATATTAAATTAAAATGTTTTATGTTTATTCAACCAGGAGGTGTGTTTCTGACTGGAAATGACTCACACACACACACTGTATCACTTCTCAGACTTCCCAACTACTTTTATGTGCGTTTTATGTTGAAAAAGGTTCACACAAGCCTTTAATGGTGTTACAGCAATCAAAGTTATATTTCCTGAGTAGATTTTTTTTTCTTGTATCTTTGTCATCACCCTAAACTTTAACTCCACAGATTCTCTGAGAACGCCTCGGCTGCTTCATGATGCTGATATTACTTCCAGAGAGAAGAAACGTGTTGCTAAAATTAGAACTTTGCAGATGTATAGGACATTTTGTGCTTAACTGGGTATTTGGAGTGTAATAAATGCAGTGATATATTTACATAATGTTCACAGTATTTTAACAGCTTGAGGCAGAAAGCTGTGCAACGGTCTGGGGGATGTATGGGGGGGGGGGTTGTGCTTTTAATATTACGGTAGTTTGCATTGAAAAAGTTTGAGAGGGTTGAACCATGTTCCATGTTTCTAAAAACAGACCCAGGAGAGAAAATCGTCGGACGTTACAGAGATGCTTCTACAGCCAACCTTAAAAAAAAAAAAAATCCTAAATTTGCTAAAGCTAAAAGTCTTTCCAGCCTCATGAATGCCATTTCTTTAACCTTCCTCTTTCGATTCCTGTAACTTTCTTTCTCTTTGAACTGGATTCCCGTCAACACATCTTAGGGCTTTTTAAGGTCGACGCAAAAAAAAAAAAGGCTAAAAACTAGACGTGCTGTATTATTTACTATTATTATACACCAGATAAGACTTATAAGCAAACACAATAATGACAATAAAAAAAAAACATATTCAAAATGGAGTTTTTACTCGTACATCCTGTGTTGTTTTCTTATAAAGCATAAAAGAAAGTTAAAACTCCTGTCTGCTTGTGTTGCAGCAATAAAAACATCCAACCAAACCACATAATTATTACAGATCTCTGACAGAACAAGGCTTACAGATCTCTAAAGTAAATAAAAATAAAACAAACCCCAGTAAACCAGTCGAGTATCCAAGCTGCAGAATACGCTTGCAGGCTGTGCAGCTACTCATGCGTACCGTCTGCTTTTTTTTGCCCTCCTTCTCATCTCCTCTGCAACCTGTTGACCTGCTGCAGTGACCACTGCCTGAACTGTTTTCTCTCTCTCTGTTTCTTTCTCACTCTGTTTTCCTCTCTCACTATCTGCCCACGGCTTGAGGCGGGCTCGGGGAAGTTTGACAAGATAATGAATTGCCATGCATGCTGCAGTTTTTCACATTTCACAGCCCAGTAACTCTGGGGATGGAGTGAAGGGTGGAGGGGTTTGAGGCGGGGACGGAGGGAGCGCTTGGTAAGAGGAAGAGGACGAGAGATGCCGAAAAACACCAGGAGACACAATAAAAGCCCAGATTGAAGTTAGTCAGAAAAGACGAGACTTTTGGTCCTTTTCTCTCTTTCTGCCCTCCTTTTGGTGTGTGTCTCACAGTTTGCCCCGGGTTGACACACACACACACACACTCACACACACACACGCAGTTATGTAATTGTCTGCGGAGCACAGCTGCTTTGTCATAGTCACAGCAGACAAAAAAAAAAGATGAAGCTGAGGGAGAGAAACAAAAGAATGGAGAGAAAAATATTGAAGTGTGAGAGAGGTGAAAGAGGTCGATGAATAAAGCTTCTCTTCATGTGATGAGAGAGAGAGAGAGACGGAAATGTGGCTCTTTTTAAACGTGGGAAAATGTTCTTTCATCGAGTGAACTCGAACTTTACTCCAGTGCTCTCGTGTTGCGTAAAGCAATACATATTTTAAATTAGAATTACAGAAATTCACCGTTGATGTCTCTGAACATAATTCTGGATTTCTGTGGGCATTTTCTCCTTTAAATGATGCACTTCATGTTGTTTGCGCTGCGCTTCCAAGTTATCAAAAATCCGCCACTTTTTGCTGGGTCTTTGGATGGTGGGATTTCTGAATCGGTGTTGGAGACGAGTAGAAAACATTCGTTGGAACCTGGAGAGCAGCCCAGGAAGGAAGTGACTGCAACCATGTTGATCTTCAGCGTCGTCCGAGTTGAAGCGCGTCGGTTGTGATAATCTTGGAGAAACCCACTTCGAGCAACAGTGACGTTTAAGCTCTTTGTTGGATTTTGCTAATTTCACACCAGTGAGACGAGTCCAGTCGTTTATTTTTCGACATATTTTCATTGATTGCGTCGATACAGTTCGCGACGCAGTTGTCTCCGGTTCTGTTTCCTGCCCTGGGCAATTTGCTGCATGTCTTCCCCTTCTTCCTGCCCATCTACGTTTGAATGAAAGCCTCAAGTGTCACCAAAAAACCCCCCCCAAAAAACTTCAGAAAGTGGCACAGATGCATCAAATTACCCAGGAACACGTCTTGAGATGATATCTGGGATGCTAATGCGTTTGTTGCCACACTGCTGCTTGTAATCTTAAGACGGCCTCCATATGCACAGCGATGTCAGAATTTCTCAGCAGCGAGTAGAGCTGGACAATATCACACAAACATGCAAATGAGTTTATTTGTAATATTCCTGACTTCTTTT